TTGCATCTGCAGCATTAGAATAGTCAGAAATCTGCATTTTGACAAAATCCACCTAGCAACTGTTAAGAACGTAATACAGGATAATCTTTTTGCCTGCCCAGCTCTCAAATAAAAGGTGACATCTTGAAAAGCAATTCCTTGTCTCCTGCGACAGTAGCAATAACTTGTTCTTAATAGTAAATTTGTTGTAACTCTTCAAAAAGGTATGCTCTTCTATTTTAAAAAATGAAGATGTTCACCAAAAATATCTCCAAGTGTTTTTAATTACATGCATTGTGTATTGTAAAATTACCTTAGGCACCAAATGAAAGCATTTTTTTCTGTCGAAGTAGATGGTAGATAGATGCTGCCCCACATGGAAACAATGAGTCAGATTCCTTCTTACAAATTATGATGGTTTTAGTTTGGTTTTGGGTGTCAGGAGAAACAAGTCAAAGCACTGTCATCAGAAATAGACCTAATCGTTGCTCAAATTCTCCTAAAAAAAATTAAAAGCCAGATGGTTTAGTTCTTTGTCTTGAGATTTTTCTGTGGCCTGTGCAATTTTGTTAGAATTATATGCAGCAGAGTAAAAATATGCATTATCATTTCGAAATCAGGCAAAAAGTAACCATTTTGATTCTCATAGAATATTTTGATCTTTCTAACATTAAACAAAATGATGTGCAGCAGTGAATATGCCTTTCTGTGTGGCGCAATCCTTGATGTGCAAAGGCTGGAAGTACAACTCATCTCACGGAGCTCTAAATATTAGGCTACTCTGGGTGGCTTCGGAAAGGAAGTTGTTCCTTTATTAGCCATTTATCGCTGAGGCAAAAAAGATCGTGTGGTAAAACCACTGCTGAGTTGGGCGCTCAGTTGACCCTTGTGAGAGAACGGATCTGGGCCAAAACTCCTCGAGGCGTTTGTGCTCCTGCCTTTTGTCGTGGGGACAGCAAACGACAGGAGGAGTCTCGGGTTGCCAGGTGAAAGAAAAAGTCATCACCAGAAAGGACGGCAGTGATGTCCAGCAGGAAGGGGACAGAGCAGGGACGCACACAAAGGCGCAGGTGCAATGCTCGGGAGAGCTAACCTGCCTCTTCTGACTGATCTGGTGCTGCTGGGGAGTAACTGGGCCACGCTGTGCATCTTCACCTGCAGTTTGTATAACCTTATATAAAGTTTTAAATGTAGTTTATATATGTGTGTGTGTTATATATGTAGTTTATATAGTCTATATATAAACTATATATAACACATATGTTGTGCGGTGCTTTGCTTTCCTTTGTCTACTGGAAATTACAAAAGTCTGTGGCAGTTTTCATGGAGTTCCCTGTCTAACATTCATATACAGTAGTGTATTACAATCTCTTTTCAATTTAAAAATATATGAAGCTGTAAATTGAATGCTAAGGTATAGATCTCTATAGTTAAGGAACCCAAACAACCTTAATAGTGTCCTAGAGTGCCATCATATAATAACTGTTCTTCTCCTCCCCTGAGTTGTTTGGTATGCTGAGAGTATGCATGCTGGACAGAAATCTAAGCTACAATTGCCTGTTCACTTGTTGCAACTGCAACGTAAACCAGAGTAATTTGCCTAATGATTGTCATGAACTGACACGTTCTAGTTCTGGCCTGGGAAGGGAGTAGGAACACACACGTGGTTTGTTGCTGTAACTCGACTAATGTATGAAAACTTACATGCTTGGTCTTCTCTTCTTGCTGGCTAGGCAGGTCTTCGTAATTCCAGGTGAAGATTATCAGAGTACAGAAACGAAGAACAGAACTGAATGCAAAGGACCATTTCCCCTTATGACCTACTTAATTCAGGAAAGAGTTATTTTTTGTGAAATGCCAAGTCTTACCCTGGATTCATCATCTCAGACTATATACATAAGCAGAAATGTACAGAATAACCACCATCAGTTTTTGATAAGTTTAGGATATCTCAAACTGTGACTTTTTAATAATATTTAGTTATTTAATTACTGAAATACAATGAGGATTTTTTTAAAGAAAGAAGTGGAATTTAGCAAAAGTCTTGCTTCAAATAAAAGTAACTTTCCATTGACACACATCCAGTAAAGGAAGAATAAAGATGCTCCTCAGCATATTGGTTTTATAAGGGTCAATGTACAACAAGAAGGATATTTTGTGACCTTATTCCAACCTCAGCCCTTAGGTACCTAATTTAAGCCCCTGTTTTCTCTGAGAAAAATTATGTAATATATTTCATTTTGAAAGTTGTTTGGGGTGACTTACACTCCCACATTTTTCATTCATCTCATACAGTACTTTATTGCCTTAATGGAAAGGCTATGAAGGTATTTTCTTCTAGCATGGGTTCAACTACAAGCTGCATAGAAAATTAGCAACAATTTATTTGTCATCTTTTTGTAGTTGTTTTTAATGAATTTTTCACAGTATGTAACCAAGCATTCGATCCTACTGTGGTGCTTTGCTTGCATGCTGGTGCATTTCTCCTACTGTAGCGAGTTTAAAATTTGCTGACACAAGTGACACGTCTTGTGTCTGCTCTCAAGAGAAGCCACAGCTACCCCGTGCTTCACATTCTCTTGCAACCATTTTGAATTACTCTTCCTCCACTTCGGAAATCTCTGGAGTGGCGAAGTCCTGAGTGTAGAGAGTGTTCTATCCTCTGCCTAATTTACGGTGATATTTCATGGCCTCGAGACAGCATCTGTGTTCCCAGAAGGTATAGCGTAAGAAGCGCACTTGGCTGGGCTGGTTTTGAGGAGGTAGATAGGGGCCAGTGCCGCAGCAGGGGAAGGGGAAGGCCTTGGACACTGCTCATGGCAGGGATGAACTGTCTCATTCCGTGGAAGATGTGAGGAAAGGGAAACAAATCAAATAGGCTTTGGCAATGGTCCCAAACAGGTTGAGGAAGAGAACTAACCACATTAATGATTAATGATGGCAAAGCTCATTCAGCTTGAAAAGTGCTTTCTATAAGTGCTAAGTGTTGGCATTAAAAATGTATGCGTTTTCATTTTAATCCACGCTTGGCATCTGCAGATGGAGAGAAAAGGGAAGAGCCAGGAGTGTCATTATAGCGACACTAATACCTCACTACAGCTGAAACCGTGGTTTGCCAAGGCATTAACCTCAGACCTGGTTCTTGTAGAGCTCAGCCTGCTGTAGTTGCTGCTAGTGGTTCTCTTGAACTGCTCCACCACCCACCCTGCAGAGCTTGAAGCAAAGGCTTGGAAACCTTGTGCAAGTCAAACATCTACTAAGTGAACAGTTGTCTTCATTAAAGCCCTACTGATAAAAAGGAAGACATAGACCACAATCTGTCACGTGGATATTTTACATGTGTAAAACCTCTAACGATATCAATTACCTAGTCTCTGTTTTTCTTTTCTAAAAAATAGACCAGTTGTCTCTGTTGAGTAGGAGATGGAGGGAAGGGGACTCTGACAGAAATTATTTGTCGTGCTATCAAGGTGGTGGCATGTTGCCACCAGAAAAGCTGTGTACCAGGGCAGCAGAAATTATGTGGGCAGGAAGTGAAGTTTTTGCTGCAATCAAGCTGTGAGAGGTAAAATCTGGAATAAAATGTTAATATAGGTGATAGGGTCTCTGAAAGGAGCTGAACAGACATATCGAGAGGCAGAACAGCAAGAGAAGAGGCTAAATGAGTAGACTCAAAGTCTGGACCTTAGCAGCTACAAGCCACATGCAAAGGGTTAGGCTGGAAATGTGCTGGTGGTTGGAAGGAAGAAGCAGCTTTGTGGTCTGACCTGCAGTTGGTCATGCTGGACTCGGCAAGGCTGATGGTGAATCAGTGGTTGCGTACCTTTCACAAGTTCTGTCTGGAAGTGGTACTTGAAGTCCCCATTTTACCAGCTTGCTGCAGAGTGTGTAATCCTTCTTGCCTCCCACCCAGCTGTATGCTGAGCTTGTTTTCTATTTTCGTTTCACTCCGTTTCATTTCATTTTGGTCTAATCTCCCTCTTTATTCACATATCTCGTAACAGAGAGTTAGGGACCTACTTGCTGTAATTGTCTCCAGTTTGCTACTGCCAGCTGAGCTCACAGGCAGGCTGAGAACACCAAGGGTGACCCATCCACTGGGAAACAGACCCTCATTTGCTCTTTCTGTGTAGTGTCAGGCTGGTAGAAGTTGCACAGTGTCTGCAGGGAGAAGGATATCTCTCTCTCCATCGCTCCCCTGGCCTCCTCCGCAGACAATTATGCAGTAGCTCTTACCTTGATGTGAGAAGTGTGGAGGTGAAGGGCAGTTGCTCTTCAAGAATAACAAGGTTTGATCTTAATTTGCCCTTAGTCTAAAATATCCACCTTTCTTCTCTGTTTTGTTGATGGTCATGTTGTGCACTACTGTGTTAGATGCTACATTTTCAGTTATGACTTGGGTAAAATGCTGTCGTTGCTAGGGGAGAAAAGTATTAGTATTACCAATATTTATTATTCGGTCCCCATGGAAACTGTAGTTCTTCTGGGAGTCCTAATTCTCCCAGTTTTTCTTCCTATGGAAAAGATATGTCTTTAACCAGGAAGTTCAGATAGTTATTTTCTAGAAATAGAAGACAAGATACACCACTCCCTTTTGCTCTCTGGTGTGCTTGACAGATGTCTGTCTATGGGTAGTTACTGCTTACTAAGCTGTGTTGTGGTTTCCAGTCACATAAGGATTTTTGGAGTGTGGTTAATCTAATTTTATCTTGGTGATGGTTTATTATTTTTTCCCTTCCTAGCACCCTGTTTGATTTGTCCTTTTCCCTGTTATTATTATTTTTTAATTTGCTGCGTATTTTAAATTAAGGAAAAATTACTCGATGGGGAAATGAACTTGCTGTTTTCTATTTAAAGGTATAACCATTGCAAAAGGTGAGGGCATGGCCCATGGTTGTAAAAGGCACATAGTAGTATCTGGTTTTTTTCAAAGTTCTTCAGATTTTCAGAGGAAAGCTGTTAAAATACCGAGTGGTTTATTCTTGGTGGGATAGTTAACTCAGTCTTTGGCTCTCTTACAGTGCCTAAAACAGTATGTGGAACTTTTGATCAAAGAAGGTCTAGAAACAGCGATCAGCTGCCCTGATGCTGCCTGCCCAAAGCGAGGTCATCTGCAAGAAAATGAGGTACGCTTTTACTGCAAATCGATTTTTTTTTTCCCCCCCCTTTTCTTTCCAGGATGCTTAAATGTGTCTTGCTCTGTATGTTACAGCTGCCACTGTTGCCAGCATACTTTTTTAATAATTCTCTAAAGGTCAAATATTTTGTCTCCATTTGTTGAAAATGCCTTAGATTATTGCTGTTCCTAACTGGAAATTTGTCTTTTCCTTTTTCTTCCTTCAACAGATTGAGTGCATGGTTGCATCAGAAATCATGCAAAGGTATAAGAAGCTGCAGTTTGAAAGAGGTAACACATGTAATGCTACCTATTGTAAGGCTGTGGGAATGGTATCACTCCAGAGCAATCCCATAAATCAGAATCTGGCTCTGCTTGTGTTCATGCCGTAGCATTGTGCATTAATTGTTTGGTCATCACAACCCTCCTCCCTCCTCCCCCGTCCCCCCCAAAAAAAATAGGAAAACATTGTTTCTGTTCTTGCCTGCTGATTCCCAGAATTGCAACATTCTGGGAATAAACTAAGGAAAGAAAATTACTATGTATTATATTGCTCTATAACTAAGGGAGGGAGTGACTTCTCTAGTGACTTCTATTTAGAGCTTTGCTGTTTGAGTTAACAGTATTCTAGGGGCTGGGGAGGGAGACTGGCCCCTTTTATGGAGCCACCATTATCTCCTGTGATGGCATCTGGTGCAGAATTATTAGGCAGTTCTGTGTGTAATGATGACATGAACCTTGTTAATTTTTATGAGTATATAAGCTGACCGGGTGCCAATGGGGATGTGGAACTGTGTGGCCAACGAGAACTTATAGTGAGGTTTTTGCTGAGGGCAGGACTCAGCCTAGAAACCACTGAAGTCATTGGTAGGTTTTTACTGACTTCACTGGGCTTTCCAATGTGAAATGACTTAGAATCATAGAATCATCATAGAATGGTTGGGGTTGGAAGGGACCTCAAAGATCATCTAGTTCCAACCACCCTGCCATGGGCAGGGACACTCTCTTACCAGTAAGCAGCCTGCAAGAAAGGGATCAAACTGTCTAACAGTCTTACGCTAGTGTTAATCATGTGGCTACATTAGGGCAGAGACCAACTTGAAATAGAGTCCTACTGGGCAAGGCACAGTAAAACCACTTTCTGATGGGTTATGCCTGCACAATATATGTTTTATTTAACTTCAACTACAACTGAAAAAAATTACATCTCCTTCTCAGAACAAGTTTAGTTCAGTGAATGAAATTGGGCAATTAATTCAAACTCTGGAAACTCACTTTAGTTTGGTGCCTGTTTGCAAAGCAGGCCAGATTTATGTCTAAGTGGGTAGCATAAATTAAAAGGCTTCTTTTGAAAATGCCCAGCCAGTCAACCTGAGCTGTAATACATTGTTATGGAAAGCTGGTCTTGTAACAAACTTTGAATTTTGTTCTTTTATGCCCCTGTACAGAAGTGCTTTTGGATCCATGTCGGACTTGGTGTCCATCCTCTACTTGCCAGGCAGTTTGCCAGCTCCAGGAATCAAGCCCACAGGACCCCCAGCTTGTCCAGTGCAAAGCCTGTGACATTGAGTTCTGCTCTGCTTGCAAATCTAATTGGCATCCAGGTCAAGGCTGTCAGGAGAACATGCCAATCTCTTTTCTTCCAGGAGAAACAAGGTAAAGCATTGCAAATGATCAAGTATTTAGAAACAAAACACTCAATCTTTGAACAAATCGGAGTATGAATAGTAAAGAGGCATTTTCCCAATATTTTGTTTTAAAGCTGTTTCCTTCACTTAGTCATTCCTGTTCTTTTAATGCTGTGTTCCAGAACTGGATAGCTCTTGGCAGCCTCACTCCTTGCCAGCATTCCCGGCAAAGCACAAAGGGGCTCCTTGAGTCACTATCATCCGCCCTTTTGCCCCACTGGTAAAAATATGATATGCAGGCAGCTCATGGGCTTCCCTTCAGAGCAGATCTCACTGCTGCTGCTATTCTGGACAGCACGAGGGGTGGTAACATCGTGCCAGACAGTGATTTTTAGGATACTCTGTCAATCATCCTAACTGCTGCACATTTGGCCGATGATCTTAAGTTCTGTTTCAAGCTGTTTCCAGTGGCATGCTGCAGCCAGTGAATAAGAAAGGCTGTTGTGCATGTGTTCCACTTAATGTTTGGGCTTTTTCAAAGATTGTACAGCACTTCAAAGTATCATTAAAACCACAGCCAGCCTTGGACTTAGCTATTCATAACTTGTCTTCTTTCAAGCTTTGCTGTAATTTGCTGAAATTTTTGCTTTGATGACTAGCTACGATGCTATCATAGAATCATTTAGGTTGGAAAAGACCTTTAAGATTGTCGAGTCCAGCCATATACCTAATGCTGCCAACTTTACCACTAAACCATGTCCCTAAGCACCACATCTACACATCTTTTAAATACCTCCAGGGATGGTGACTGAACCACTTCCCTGGGCAGCCTGTTCCAGTGATTGACAACCCTTTTGGTGAAGAAATTTTTCCTAATACCCAATGTAAACCTCCCCTGGCACAACTTGAGGCCTCTTCTCTCGTCCTTTCACTTGTTACTTGGGAGAAGAGACCAACACCCACATTG